AAAAGTAAACAGTTAAATAGAATAATCAAGTGTCAGAATAATAATAAATAAAAATGGACAAACAACCAATTTGCATTTCAACCTAAATTCGAGGTTATAGTAACATGGAGTCCGAACTACTTGGCACACAGAAAAGACTGAACACGCAAGAACCACAAACCAACCATAAACATTTGAATGGTAGTGCATTTAAATATATCTAGTTGCAACATTTAGGACGTTATAATTCGTTAGAAATCAGCAGTCTGTATACGGTCATAAACTTCCTTTTTAGCAAATTTCTAAACTTGTTGGTACAAACTTCTTTTGGGTTTTCCGAAAGCTCATTAGTCATACAAATGCTAACATTATCTAGGTTACACATTACCTCATAGTGCAGTCGACGAGCCTTTGTCATAGCAGGTAAAGACGACCTTTTCCCACTGATGTTTCTGAACACTTGGAACACCATGAAGCACAGGAACAGGAAGTAGAGACATGCGCAGATTCCTGCTACAATGATGAAGGCCATCTGCACCAATCTCAGTTAAAGTGATAACTTAACACAAAGCATATGACGACACTATACCACAGAAGTATAGAAATCAGCAACAGTATGGTTGAGATATTTTTGTGTGGATCATTATTTACTTTAAAAGCCTTTAGTACATGTTTGGTCCGAACATATGTGGCACATAATGAAGATGCATTATTATAATACATGAATGAACAGAGCAGGGATTTGACCATCAGTTGCCATCCTGAAGGCCTTTAATTAACATCTGTACCAACATCTCACACAGTCAAAAGGATACAGCAAGCTCTGTCCCAACATCTGATGCCCAGATACTGTAGAAGGGGTTCTTCAGCTGTACTCCTCTATGAAGAAAACAAATGCAATGCATTTTTTAGAAGAGAACAACACAGCAGTATTAAGGACAAAAGAACTCAAGTTAGATGGAAACCAAAGTGAGTTACTTCATGCCAAGAATGAGGATAGTTCAGTTGGCTCACCTTTCACACATATCAAAAATGAATAGGCAGAAGGAGCCAAAGACAATGGGTCCAACCTGCTTCCAGTACACAGAAAAACGGTTTCTCTCAGTCTGGTCCTTGAGGGAAAAAAAA